AACGCATCCCATCCCTCGAAAAAAAGCCCTCCTCGTCTCGCTGCGCGGGCAGACCTGGCTATCAAAAACCGTGAAGGATTCTATTTATGAAATGCTCTGGTGAAATGTTCCAAGGAAGCTCCGACACTATTCACCCCTCACTGCACCGTTCTTCCAAAGGGCAGATTATGACCAAAATTTTTCATTCGGGCTAGATTTGAGCGCCGTAGGTAGTTTGGCAGCAGTACTCATAGCTCAGGTGCCGAGCATCTTCACACCAAGCTAGTGTGATATTCTCAAACTAGCCGCGACACGTTGTCAACATCTTTGGCTGAGGTGTTCTAGCGACGACGGCTTTGGCAGAGGTGCCAGGTGGTTCCGAGTCAAGTGGGCGCGATGTTCGGGTTCAGGGGCCAAATTTGAGATTGGCCTAATTACAAGGCGAGGTGTTTACCTTCCTAGCAAGCTTGATGCTATCTGACTTCTTGTAGAGGGATGCAAAGCTTGGATGGCTCTAGCGAGAGTAAATCCAAGATTTACCGTAAAAACCATTTATATGGTAAGCAGCGTCGCCAAAAAATTCTAATTACCAATTAGCTTGAACATCTTGCGTGAACATAACTTGCTTTCAAAATACAATCATTATCCCTGCAAACGAAAGGTGAGGGGGAGGTGAGGGGAAGCTTGAAGGACTGCCAGGGCGGATTTCCCAACAATTGTAGCGAGATCATGACATTATTAGCGGAAAAAGGTCGTCCTGTCTGCGCTGCAACCCGCCCCGCATCACCGCCCTATCGTTTGCAGAGATCCGGCTGTATCGAAATGCCCGCAATTTTTCACATTAAGCGACGTAAAAAACCTAAATGGTACGACCGTATCTGTATATCTTACCCAGTACAGCAGGCTTATAAGTTGGGACCGGTGCAGATTTAGCCCTGGATTCGCGTGTACCTGAATCGTGACATCGCACTTCCTAAATGCAATAAACTCTGCAGTCTTGTAGGAACCTTATATGTGTTCTCCGCCTTCAGCTTATTCAACTCTTTTTCTAATTATACACGCTTCATATCACCAATCGATATCTATGTTTCAGA